TCAGCAGTTTTCACTGGTACTCGGTTCTTGAGAGACCATTACTGAGTCAAAACTTTAAGCATCAGAGGATCAAACCTGATGGGAGAAAGAGAGCACAGGAGGCAAATGGATCAAACCACAGAGAATGAGCGAGAACAAAAGCCAATTAGCAATACAAAGACGCCACATAGAGGCAGCTCATTTTGTTTTGTACAAAGCACATAAGAGGAATTCATAAAGCATATCTCAATGCTAAAAGGATGCCTAAAGCCCTAAACAAACTAAAGAATGGCTTCCCTCAAGGAAGAACATGTATGCTTTCAGAAAATGAGAAACCATTTCCCAACTCATCAGCCTTAGCTGGAAGGGGCTGCAGAGAAGTTCTATATATATATATATATATAAAGAGAGAGAGAGAGAGCAAATCCCTCAAACTGTAGTCTACCACAAGGACTCCACATATAATTTACAAAACTGAAACTGCCTGTGCATAAGTAGATGAGTGATTCGGCCGGCACATGTCCAAACTCCAAAGGACTCAAAGAAAATTGGCTGTGTATGACTATCAGCACCTAGATATACTTCCATCTCTACTCCACAAAATTATGTATTATTAGCAGCCACCTCATGAACCATGGATACATAAAACAAAGAGCATCGAGCCATATTAGCTTGCAACAGTGAGACATACGAGGCATTGACAATAAACATCTGAGGCCTCTGATCAATAAAAAATAAAATAAAAATGTGGAAGAGAACAGAGTAAAAATGAATGGAAAGGGGAAAGCACAGAGAAATATCAAGCATCTATTGCTTGCAAGCAAGCGTGATAAATAGCTTTGTTGCATGTAGTAGACTCAAACTGTCAGACTGCCCTGTCTTTGTTTGGCACCACCCTCCGCCACTGCTATCGCCCACTTTGGAGTTTAGTAAATATAATCACTAATAATAGTATAAAGGAGGATGAGGTAAAACTACATCACTACGCAGCAAGAAGGGTGTCACAGTATGTATATAACACATAACTAAATATTGAGGTAAAACATAAGCAAACAGGAAACTCACCAAATTGTCGTGGTCCGATTATGAGATATTGTACTGGTCAACAACAGCATAGTAACCTAAGAATGACAGCATCTCATAGTCAGTCGATAAGCCTCTAAACAGTGGAATAAGAAGAAAAAGAGACATACAACAAACTCACCAAGATGTTGTGACCCAATTCTGAGATTGTTTTGACCAGCAACACCAACAAGAAAGCACAATGTACGACAGCAGCATTCCGTAGTCAGTCACTAAGTCACTATATAGGGAAAGATATCCTCATACATTTGTCTGACAGATGAGATTGCAGCTGCTAATGAGGATGTAATTGTGGCAGATTTCTATTTGGATATGACATGCATCCTAAGTTCCTAACTCTTGTAAAACATTATGGTTTATATAAGGGCAAAATCCTCGCAGCACTGAAGAGCATATATACACTCTCTGCAACTTTAGAATGTATGAAGGTTAGGGAGGAAGAGGCTCTCACCTCGATCTGTGAAAGCCATTGTCACCACAAGAAACACAAGGAAGCCCAAGCTAGCAAGGACATCATATCTCAATTACCCACCAAACCAGCACTGAATACCACTGGATTTCCTTACATTCTTCCTTGCTGAGATACTTAACAAACCAAACAGCTTGAGAAAATTAACATGTTTCCATTTGCCTCCTACCTAGACTGGTCTAATTGAATTTAAGCTGGGACTTTCCTCAGCGTAATGAAACCTGAAAATACAAAGAATTAGAAATGAACTTGTATCATGGACAGAATAAGATCATCCTTTCATGTACCAGGAGCACTGCTGTTAAAAAACCATATACATAACAAATGGACCAGAGGCAAAAAAAAAAAAAAAAAAAAAAAAAAAAGTGGTGTATTTTTGCTTCAATGCTGGAATGCTGGTGATTGTGTACTGATATGTAATTATGCACATAGGATACATACGTGGGATGAACCTTTGTTTTTAATTAATCTGAACTTCTAAGCAGAATATGGGCAGAACATTGTGATGGTCATAAACTAAGCAAAGAAAGAAATATTAATTTTTCAATTTTCTATCTTTGATATTGTTGTTACTGTGGATAGATAGATAATTTCCTTAGCATTTCAGATTGGTGGCGCCTTCTGTGGCTGCACCACTGTGGATAAGCTCCTTAATGAAATTCCTCGATTGTAAGAATATAGCGCAGATAACATCTCCAAATAGAAAACAATTTGGCAGATAATATACATGGAGGCAAAGAGAGAAAAATACAAAAAAAAACATTTTGACTCATCTACATACAGGATTACCCTCAAATTACAGATAATTTGCAATCAAACTTTTGAGACCATAAATAAAACAAACATCAATTTTATGAGGAACATGAAAACTCTATCCCTGTTCCTGTAATCAAATTTTGCAAGGAGCACAAACATGTTTACAAAATGGGGAAACAGTTTTTGATGAGAGAGCATCTCAGAAACTAAGATATAGTATAAAATCGAAGGCACGTAAACACCAGCATGCCATGTTGTGTATATTAATCTGTCAAATCAAATACCTTCAGGGAAAATAGCACCTGTATTTAGGAATAGAAGCAAAACTATTAGCTAAGCGTTTGGCAGTACATGATTACTATGCAAATGTATGAGCTTCCCAGCACTATACGGATCATTTCTTGGGAAAGAAACAAGGGACGACGAGTATAGAGCACGACAAAGGGAAAATATCAATAGTCAAAATGAACTCAACCAAATATTAGAATGCAGTAAAGTTTAAGCAATATGAACAAGCTAGGTGATGTCTTCTTCCCATAATCCCATGGTTGAGTTTTTTATATTTAAGAAATATGACACCATGTTCTATTAGTCCACCATAATACAGAGTCATGGAATGATTTTGGTACAACCTATGACTTTCTAGTTGAATCGAGCCTGTAGCTCAGGCTGGAAAAGAATGCGACACAAACTTACAGAGTAGCAGTCAGACCACCCCTGAAATTATTTGGCTGAAAAAAAATTGCAGTGATCCCAAGCATGCAAGGCTTAGCAGAGGTAACCAAATATAAGTTGCAAAATTACATTCTTTTTCAAATTTTGATCATGTAAGAAGTAACCGACAGAAAGGAAAAAGGATGGACAATTTACTTCTCAGAGCCATAGCAATGCTTAATTACATGCGAGTTTCCTTGTTTAAGTATCAAAAAAATAGAAAACACCTAGGTTAGTGTAACTGAATGTAAATATGGTGTTTCTTAGTATGTCAAAACCTGAAAAATACAAAGAATTACAGATTATTCAGTTATTCATACTGATGTGTAGGGTTGCTCAATAGATCTCTTGGTGAAATGAGTCAATCAACAATGAAATACACAGTTTCAATCTTTCTAATGGAAAAGTGCCAGGGCAAGTTCAATACATTTCACAACTCACAAATAATGATGAGTCAGCCAACCAAATACAGTGTGTTTTTCTTTGCATACCTGAATTATGGAAACATCCAGCTTAAGTGTTTATCCTTCTGTCTGTGTTCATCAGAGCATGTCATAGGTAAGCCAGAATTGTCAGAGCATGCCCAAGGTAATAACTAGGTAGCCATGACAGGGGACAGGACGGAAGGACAGAATACCTGAAGGCACTGCACCGTGGGGTGTGTGTGTGGGTGGGGGGGCAGTGAATCTTTCGCGTTGTACCACCCGGAGGCCGGAGGAACACGTCGGATGATCTGCGCTGTGGAGTCGATCTGCGTTGGAGTCCAGGCCCTAGTGGCCAGGGCCAGGGCCAGCCCAGCCCAGATAAAAAAAAGAAAACTAAGGTGGTGTTTAAATCCAGAAAGTAAACTTTAGGATGTTATATGGGAGTGTTCGGATAATAATAATAAAATAAATTATAGAAGTCCTCATTAATCCGCGAGACGAATTTATTAAGTCTAATTAATCTGTCATTAGCACATGTTTACTGTAGCACCACATTATCAAATCATAAACTAATTAGGCTTAAAAAATTCATCTCGTAAATTAGTCGCAATCTGTGCCATTAGTTATTTTTTAGTCTATATTTAATACTTATGTGTCCAAACATCCGATGTGATAGGAAGTAAACTTTAGGAGAGGAACTAAATAAAACCTATGCCAGCTTATACAAATAAATAATATAAATACTTCACCGCTTTCCGCTTTCACCGCAAGCGGCAAAGTGTTTTCGGGCTTTCGTCTCCGACTCCGAGTCCGGTGCAAGTCTTCCGAGGAGCACGAGAAGAGCCGAGCCGTCTCCCTCGCCGACCCCATTCCCTCGACCGGGTTCGTGCCCCCTACGCTCTTGTTGTTTGATTGGAGACCGGAGGATCTGGTTGTTTGATCGGAGACTTGTTTGTTTGATTGATCCGCGTCCCCGCTCTTTCATCCCCCGTTGCGTGACTTGTTTGTTTGATTGATCCGAACCCTAAACCCTCTTAGAGATGCTTGGTCGGAATGCCACGTCGCTACTTCTCGCAATAGCTGATTTCGCCTGCAGCGATTGATTTATTTCATCCGATTATTAGATTAGATATACACGAATCCACCATCCACCGACATGATCGGATCCACAGATCCATGCCAGTTCAGGAAAACCACGTCTATGCCATTTCAGGAAATACAACTCGATTAATCGGGAGATCGAGGATTTCGAACTCCACCCACTCGATTAATCGGGAGATCTACAAAGGGTTTCGGATCCAGAGTTCGATTACCGAGAGATTATTCGCTCGTTTGGGATCCACACATAGTTCGGATACAAATTGTTGTCAGATACTTCAATCTGCGTCGTTTAACCCAACTTAAATGGATCGCGTCAGTCTTGTTGCGTCATTTGATCCGACTTACTCCATTAGATCACATTCAACTATTCATCTGTAATTTCGGCAGTTCTTAATATCAGGCCCCAGTCTTCTGTCATTTGATCCCACCTACACAATTGTGCCATAATAAAGTCTGTAATTGCAGGAGACGTCATGCCGACCAAAAAGAAGACGGTGTACAAAACAGTCCCCAAGCCCGTTAAGGGAATCAAGAAAACCATCGGCTGCCCCGTCAACTGCAAAGAGTGCGGCACCGACGATCGCTTCACCCTGACAGCGATGCTTGAGCACAAGCTGTGGTGCGCCCTTGCTAAGAAGAAGAACCAAGAGACAGCCGCCGAGAAGGAGAAGAGCAAGAAACGTGGGCCCAAGCGGTACTGAACACAGGCAAACCCCGCCCCAGTAAGGATACAGCATCCAAACAAATATTAAAATGTTGCAAATATAAAATACACGCAAGTTACATCGCATTTCTCTCCACCCTGCAGGTAACACAGAGAAGAAGTACCAACAGTGAAGTAAGACATGGGAGGCTTGAATGATATGGTTAAGTAATAAATACAGTACTAAAAATCAACTGATCTTGTTAGAACTATACTACTGCATGAGAGACTTGAGGTGAGATATTGTTCTTATAGTTCTGCAAAGCATGTGAGACTTGAGGTGAGATATTTTCTTATAGTTCTGCAAAGCACTGAGGCAAACCTAATGCATTGTGAAGTGAGCTGAGTAAATGTTGTTGGTTAAATGTTGGTGAAAACGATTGTGTGACCAGGTTTGGTTACTGAATTTGATGAATGGTAATAGTATTGAAATTCTGAATAGGCACATAAATTGAAATTACCGTGTGCAGAAGGTGGCGGCCTTGCATGTGCAGGGAAGGCACAGATTGTGAAAGCTCTCTCTCCTTGCCTGCAGTTTCTTGCACTTGCTCAATCCATACATTTTCTGCTTGTCCAGATTAGCACATATCCTGCTCATGGCTGCAGTTGTAGACACCACTTGCTCCTGATATTCATAGCCATGCAGCAAGTCATCATCCCAAACCACGTCTGTACAAGGCATTGCATGAAACATCACAGTTGAGGCTCCCTGTGATGTCAAAGGATCCACAGACTCAACTTTCTTCTCCTCACCAAAGTAAATCCACTGAGAGTGCTTAAGTAAACCGTGGTGCGCGCCAATAGCAGCAGCCATTTCATCCCACAACCTGCCCAAAAATTTCAACCAACACAGTTGCATCACCAACCATCAGACACCCCCGGTGTCATGAAGACAGCCTGCTCTAGATGTGTTGCGTCCATTTCTTTGAGAGATATTTCATCGAACAATACATGTGCAGGTCCATTGGATACCACAGCAACCCCAAACACGACCTGCTCAACTAGTTGTTGTGTGTCCACTACTCCACTTGAGCCATTCCCTCGAACACCCTGTGGGCAACATCTTCAAACCCCACACAGCCTTTCTCCTTCCCAAGAGCACTTTGAGGAACCCCTTTTGTGAGTCAACTTTCGCTGCATTTACTGGTGTCCTGCCCATGGTGAGCATTTTGGCTGGTCGATATTTGGAAGTTTCCAGTACTTGTTGCTAAAGCTTGGCTAACATAATGGCTCTATGCATAGTATCAGACTCTTGTGTTTGCACTAAAGCTCTGAGATCAGGTTTCAAACCTTTAATGAACTGAGACACAAAATAAAGCTCATCAAATCCACTGTTGTGCATTAATATCTCATATTGCAAGGTCTGGAATGTGTTTGCATATTCTTCCACACTAGAATCTTGTCACAGTTCTAACAACTTAGCAAGAGCAGTTCGATAGTCATATAGACCAAAGTGAGGCTCCACGGCATGAACAAACAACTGTTGATTAGGATTTTGCTTCTTATGTACTCCCTCCATTCCAAATTATAAGACGTTTTGGCTTTTCTTGATACACTGCTTTTAGTATGTATCTAGACATAGTGTATATCTATGTGCATAGCAAAAGCTACGTATCTAGAAAAGCCAAAACGTCTTATAATTTGGGACGGATTGAGTACCTGAAGCCAGCGGGCTGCATCACCCTCAAAATGAAATGAGGCTGATGTGACCCACAGACATTGTTCACTGCACGTCTCGAGATTCACGAAGTCAACACAGGCGCCTCGCTTAATTAGTAAAATTTGAGAAAAACTGAGTGGGAAAAGAAAATTCCTGCGTTAGGTGGAAATTTTTGCTACAATCTGAGTAAACGCTAAGAGTTCATTTTTGTTTGCTGTCTCCTAGAACATGTAGGGTTGTCTGTAGGTAGAATTATATATGCAGCTAAGAGCTTACACAATAGTGCAGAAGTGGAAAGGCTGGCCAGAACCTAACGCTGGAGCGACAGATGCCCACACACTGCATGTGAAACCTTTGTTAGGAACAACAGCAAATAAACCATGATACTTTATCTGAAAGCGCCAGACCAAAGAAGCGCATGTGTGAAAAAACGTACTATGCAAGCAACAGGCCCGCCTTACCAATAGATTGTTACTCCTAGCAAACTGAACTCAGAAATCCCGGAGCCTAAATTTACTGTTAGAGTATAATTTCTAATGTGTCTATTGTACTGAAAGCTGGAGAATTAGTACCTCTCCAAGCCAGACGGTGCTGATCTAACAATTTTTTTTGTTTGCGACAACATTCAGCAGCGGCTGGATTTTGCATACATATGGCAAGCACTGTCAGCTGGCATAGTAGTGCACAAGATTAGGTGATGGCACATGCTTCCTAAGAGAGAATTTCTCTCTCGTTGTGCACTGCCACGTTCTGATCGCTGCAGGCTTGTGCCACTGAAGCAATACCAGAGACCAGATTTTCCAGATTATATGCATAGATGCACATTTGCAATGTTAAAGGAAAAGGGAAGGTAAGGAAGTCAGGTCGTTTGAAAATGTCTGATTTCGTAAGCAAGGAGGAACTATTTTGCTTAAGACGTACATCGGTTTGAACCATAGCTCTGTAGGGACATGTTTCTATTCGACAATGTTGCGCTGGTAAGTACACTAATGATCAGGAAGAGAAACGAAAATAGGCATGGCACAACAGCACAGCACATTATTTAAATGAATCTCTAGGATATGCATAAAATAATTCTGTGCATGGAATGATTCATGAGAACCTATCTGAGAACCTATCTTTTTCAGCTCCCAGTGTCCTAGTTTATTTTAAAGAAATACTTGACATAATCAGCATAGAACCATTTCTTAATAAAAAAAGTTGCTTGGCAGAGCTTATAAATTAAGCCTAGAAACAGCTTTAAGAGCTCTATGAAACAGAACCTAACTGACTTAAACACTAAGCTAAAAGCACAATTAGAAAACTCCTCAATGTACCTGAAGGAAAGACAGTTTTGCATTCACAGTAGATATAACAAAGACTGGAACCTAGAGAAAGTTAGGATAGCCCAAATGTGATCTGCGACATGTCTGTTGGTATGCACTAAGCAATGGCTATGTAAATTGTTAGCTCTGATTAAGAGCTTTTAATAGTTGGGCAGTAAATTACTGAAGACGAGGTTCTCTTACAGCAACGGTTCGATTGTTTGGAAGTTGTGTTCTAACATGAATGGTAGAGTAGTGTGGAAACTGGAAAGGTCACAAAGTGGGGGGCTAACGTCTCTGCAGCAAGCAGCAAACTCAATTGGTTGGTTATGACTTCGGAATGTGGCGTTTGTCTCTAATTTGAAAACATGTGACATAGAGAAGTACAAGATGGCAAAGAAGACTGCAAAGCGAGCTGTAAGTGTGGCAAAGGGTAGAGCGTACGAGGATCTTTACCAACGTTTGAGTACGAAGGAAGGAGAAAAGGACATCTATAGGATGGCTAGGGTTCGTGAGAGAAAGACAAGGGACTTCCACCAAGTTAAGTGCATTAAGAATGAAAAGGAGCATCTCTTGGTGAAGGAGGATGAGATCTGACACCGATGGCAAGAGTATTTTGACAAATTGTTCAATGGTGAGAATACGGACACAACCTTTCAGTTGGATGACTCTTTTGATGACACCAATAGGCGCTTTGTGCGAGAATCCAAGAATCTGAGGTTAGAGAGGCGTTGAAAATGATGAAAGGAGGTAAGGCGATGGGACCGGATGGTATCCCAATCGAGGTGTGGAGATGCCTCGGGGACATAGCTATAGTATGGCTAACCAAGCCGTTCAACCATATTTTTCGATCGAACAAGATGCCTGATGAGTAGAGGAGAAGTATATTGGTACCGATCTACAAGAATAAAGGGGATATTCAAAGTTGTACTAATTACCGGGGAATTAAGTTGATGAGCCATACTATGAAGCTATGGGAGAGAGTTATCGAGCATCGCTTGAGAGCAATAACGCGGGTCTCTATGAACCAATTTGGTTTCATGCCCGGAAGGTCAACCATGGAAGCCATTTTCTTAATAAGACAAGTTATGGAGCGGTATAGGGAGAAAAAGAAGGACCTACACATGGTTTTTATTGACTTGGAGAAGGCTTACGATAAAATACCAAGGAATGTTATGTGGTGGGCTTTGGACAAACATAAAGTCCCAACGAAGTACGTCGGGCTCATTAAGGACTTGTACAACAATGTTGTGACTAGAGTTCGAACAAGTGATGGAGACACGGATGACTTCCCGATTAGGATAGGACTACATCAAGGGTCAGCTTTGAGCCCTTATTTGTTTGCCTTAGTGATGGATGAGGTCACAAGGGACATACAAGGGGACATCTCTTGATGTATGCTTTTCGCAGACGATGTAGTGCTAGTTGATGAAAGCCGAACAGGAGTGAATCAGAAACTGGAGTTATGGCGGAAGACTTTGGAGTCCAAAGGTTTTAGACTCAGTAGAACTAAAACTGAGTATATGAGATGTGACTTCGGCACTACTATTCGGGAGGAGGAAGATATTAGTTTGGAAGGTCAAGTAGTGCCTAGGAAGGACACATTTCGATATTTAGGATCAATGCTACAAAAACACGGGGATATTGATGAAGATATTAGCCATAGAATCAAAGCAGGGTGGATGAAGTGGCGGCAAGCATCCGTGTCCTATGTGACAAAAGGGTACCACGTAAGCTAAAAGGCAAGTTTTATAGGATGGCGATTAGACACGCTATGTTGTATGGTGCGAGAATGTTGGCCTCACGAAAAGACGACGACATGTTCAATGAGATAAGTGTCGCGAAAATGCGATGTTGCGTTGGATTTGCGGTCATACAAGAAGGGATCGAGTTCGGAACGATGATATACGTGATAGATTAGGGGTAGCACCAATTGAAGAAAAGCTTGTCCAACACCGGTTGAGATGGTTTGGACATGTCCAACGGAGACCTCCAGAGGCACAGGTGCGTAGTGAAATCCTAAGCCAGGATAGT